ACGTTGGGGAGGGTCCGAGGTATTGGAATGGGCTCAGCTCCTGGGCTTGTGACTTTTGTGGAAGATCTGAGATGCCGTCCTGGGGGCTGCCTGACTGATGGTGTGCTGCTCACACTGAGGCCTGAGGGGGCCCTCGCCCCTGATGGCCGACAGCTACCAACCCCCTAGCCCGGGCCCACCTGGGTCCCTTCAGTGACCCCTGCTACACGATGAAGGCAGACCCGGGTCCTCTGCAGCCCCCAGCGTCCCTGCTGACAGAACGTTCCACTTCCCAGAATCACCTGCTGGCAGTCCTGGCTAGAAGGGTGTGTGCATCCTGGGGTCATCCGCTCTCCCGGGCACTGCCACAGCAGATGGGGGGCCGGGCGGGAGGACGCTTTGGGAGGCATGTGCAGTTAAGCCTTTAAACTTGCTGGGAACTGGCTGTGTGACCTTGGGCAAATCACTCAGCCTTCCTGTGCCTCGGCGTCCTTATCTGCCAGGTGGGGGGTGATGATCCCAGTGGGGCACATGGCCCATGCTCAGTTGGAGATGGCGTCGCCAGGTGGGATCTGCAGCCCGCACGGCCCCTCCATGGCGGGTGCATTGCCTGTCCGCCCTTCCCTCCTGGGTGCCCTGCACTGGGCCGAAAGCTGGTGGGAGCCAACTTCCCATGGGGCCTTGTGAGGTTCTCACAGGATGGACTGTGTCCAGGGCTTCCAGAGGAAGCACCCTGGGGTGATGCAGCTGTGGGTGGAGGCCCCAGGAGCCTGGGAGAAAGCCAGGGGCTTTTGGGTCAGAGTGGGCCGGGCGGGGCCACACCTCATGGCTCCTTCAGAGCGGACAGATAGGCCTCAGGTGGTCCCTCAGCTTCCAGCCCCCCAGCCCCAGGTCACGGATGGGGAAACTGAGAGTGGAGAGAGACCCAACCGAGGACCCAGTGGTATGGATGGAGTGTGGATCACACGGAAACTTACCTGACTACCTGACTACGGGGCTCGGCTCTCCTGGCCATAGCCCCTCCCAGGCTCCTGGCCTTCTGTTTGAGTGGAAGGCTCTTGGCACCCCTGTTGGAGACAAAGCCTCCATGTCCCTGCATGGCCATATTGCTCAGGAGGAGGCGAAGTAGGAAAGAGAATTGATTGGAAATAACTTCCAGGAGGACCACGGAGGGGCTCTGTGCGCAGGAGCCAGGAAGCAGTGTGTGGTGTGGAGGACAGGCCCATCCTGGCACCAAGGGCCTGAAGTTCCGTCTTCAACTGTGGCCTCTTCTCCGGCGGTGATGCCCCCGGCCCATGAGCACGCACCACGCGCCTGCCTGTTCCGGCGTGGGGTCACGCTGCCCATGGTGGTGTTCCCACGGTGCACTGGGAGGGCTGCCCTGGGGAAGTTCCGCCGAAGTGGGTCTCCGGAACAAGGCGGCGGTGGGTGAGGAAAATTCAGGAAGCTGTCTAGGCCCAAGGACTGGCTTGGGGGGGGGGGCGCTTCAGGAACCATAAGAGGCCCCTGGGGTGGAGGGCGGAGGGGGACGGTGGAGGCGGCCTGAGGTGAAACCAGAGAATCACTGGGGCCACATCGCGCCGGACCTGTAGGCCATGGCGAGGATTGTCATTCATTGAGCCAGCACAGGTTGGGCTCCTGCCTTGTGCTATGCCTGGAGGAGCATGCAGAGCCATAGAGTCTTTCCTCGAGGGGCTGAGGCCCGGTGGCAGGCTTTGGAACACATCAGTGGCCTTTCTGGAGGTGCCGTGACAGAGGTGTGAACTGGAAGCTGCGGAAGCACAGAGGAGAGAGGGGCTACTGTGTGTGTCAAGGCAGTGACATTTGAGCTGGGTTTTGAAAGATGAGCAGGAGTCTGACAGGAGGGAGAGGAAAGACATTCCTGGCAGTGGGAACAGGATAAGCAAAGGCACAGAGAGGATTTGGAGGAGTGCTGGCAGCTGCAGCCACAGTGGGCAGTGGACAGAGGAGAGCTGGAAGGTTAAGCTCATAGGCGATTAACTAGAGTCCAGGCCAGAGCTGAGGCTTCATTCTGCAGGAGTGAGGGCTGCGGACCAGGTGTGAGTGTGAGAGTTGTGCCTGCCCTCTTGGAAGGATCCCTCTGCCGAGCAGTGCTGGTGGGGTTGTTGACAGGGGAGGGCAGCACGGCCACCGCTGCCTGAAGAGGGCCAGGCCTGAGCTACGGCAGGGCCTGGAGGTGGGGGTGGGAGCTGTGTCGCGTGGCCCTCTGGCCCCACCCTGAGCTGGCCTGCTGCCTAGAGCAGGGACTTCTCGTTACAGGGCCAGCTTTGGGCTGCACCACCTGGAAGACCAGAGGCCCTTTCCAGAAGAGCAAAGAACCCAGCCAGCTGGGCCCGTGGGCTGAGTCCAAAGCAAACAGGAAGGGACCACAGTGGGCCAGGCCGGGCCTCTTTCTTTGTTTGGAGAAGGGATTAGGCCAAGCCGACTTGTGGGTCTTTCTGCTGCAAAGGTGGGAGGGGGCTGCGGGCGTTTGGGGGATGCATGGCCCTCAGTGCCAGCCTACAGGGGTGCTGAAAGATGGCTTCCCTTGACAGACTCTAAGGCTGGGGGCACACTCTCTGTCATCCTGGGAGACACTCCTCCCTCCCACCACGCCCAAGCGGGAGCCCTCCCGGACACAGGCTTCCCACTAATGCCCCTTGGCTGTCCCCCAGGCCTGACGGGGTGGCAGCTGGTCACTGCAGTGGGAGTCCACACTCGCCCCAGACCAAGGCCCCAGGGGCTAGTCTCTAGAGGAAATGGGGAAATACTGGGGGCTCAGAGCACCCACAATCCAGAAGATGAGTACTCAGGATTCCCCAGAGCCCCGAGCTCAGGCCCTGACCACCACAGGCCAGTGAGAGGTGGCGGCCACTGCACGCAAGCCTGAGTGAGTCGACCTGTGTGTCCATTGTACTCCTGCATGTGTTTAGCTAACAAGCCTCCATGCGGGCTCGGGTGGCAAGGGGTGGTGAACGAGAGAGGCCTCAAGGAGCACACAAGCTGAGAAGCAGATGGGCATGTGCGCCTGGGATGCTTGGGCCCAACTAGGGTCCTGCCCGCCCAACGTGGTTGAAGGGGGTGGTCTGTCCTCCTGGGGAGGTGTGGGGTGGGGAAGAGGGTGGAGACGGAGTAGAAAGGCTTCAGGAAGGAGCTTCTCCTTAATTTACTTGTCACTCATTTATTCATTTATACGTGTGTGTGTGCAGCCACTCAACATATCTGTATTGAGCACCTACTGTGTGCCAGGCACTATGCTAAGTTCTGGTGAGCCCTAGCAGCCAAGGCCTTGCCCTCACCGACTCATCACTGCACAAATGAAATGGAAAACCACACTGAGCTCCAGGGCTCTGAAGAAGAGGTGTGTGGTGCCAGCAAAGCTAACAGGGGCTTGACCTGGTCAGGGAGGTCAGGATGGCTTCTTCTAGGAAGACTTGAAGGATGGAAAGGAATCAGCCAGGGCAACAGGGAAGAGGTGATCCAGGGGTGGGAACAGCATGTGCAAAGGCCCTGGGGCTGGATGAAGGCTGGAGTGGCTGGAACACTGCCACAGAGGGGAGTGTGGCGAGAATGAGGCTGGGAAATGGATAGTCTGATTGCACCCGGACTGTGAGTCCCCTTAGAAGCTCTGGCCTGGATGCTATGATCAGAAGGAAGGTTCTTATCAGAGGTGTACAACGATGCAATTTGTGTGGCAAACAGGTTTGAGGGGGCCCGAGTGGAAGCGGAGAGTCCATATGGATGCTGAGAATGGCTTTGACCAAGGGTGTGGTGGGATGGATGTGGGTGAATTGGATGTGGGGGAGGTCAGGCAGCATCCAGGTCTGAGAGATTGGGCCAGAAACCATCGTTTCCATGTGTGGACACATTTTCTTGAGGATGATAAGTCATATCTTCATTTCTACCAAGGACAAAAAAGGAGACCATGGTTGAGCTTTGGGTAAGAAAGAAGGGAATACTTTTGAAGTTCTACTCTGTGATGTTAATATGTTTTCTTGGCCGGACACAGGGGCTCACGCCTGGGATCCTAGCACTTTGGGAGGCTGAGGAGGGAAGACTGCTTGAGCCCAGGAGTTCGAGACCAGCCTAAGACCCTGTCTCTACAAAAATAAAATTACCAGGTGTAGTGGCGCCTGCCTGTAGTCCTAGCTACACGGGAGACTGAGGCAGAAGGATCGCCTGAGCCTAGAAGGTCGAGGCTGTGGTGAGCCATGATTGTGCCACTGCCTTCCAGCCTGGGCAACAGAATGAGAGCCCAACTAAAAAAAATGTATGCGTGTATGTTTTCTCATTAAATCTGTTCAACCAATCTGAGAGGTAAATAACTGTGGTTGGTTTCCGAGGAAGAAGGATCAGAAGGGTCAAGTGACCTGCCCAAGGCTAAGCACCCTCCAGAAAGGCAGAACAGCTCATTTCGGGTTATTAGGGAGCTGATGATTGAGGAGAGAGTATTTGGCAGGAAGACCCCAGGAGGGGGGCCCGGAAGAACTGCCTGCTCTGGAGGAATTCAAGGGAGGCTGGGCCCTTGTCACTGAGGAGCCCTGGCCTCCATCCAGAGCTCCGACCAGAGGGGCTACCTGGTGTGTTCCGCACAGGAGCCCGAACCGCGCCGCCTTCTTTGTGCATGTCCCCTCCCCCCTCCCCAGAGATCCTTCCCTGACTCTAACCTCCATCCTGCTGCCGCCCCCACTGCCCTCTCGCCCAGGGACATCCGTACAAAGCCACCTGGCTGCTCCCACTGCCCGCTGGGCCGCAGCCTGCAGCTTGCCCTTGAGCCGGGGGCCTGGCTCCCAGTCCGCTGGCCACCTGTAACCAGACACTGTTTGCTCCCGGCAGGCACCCCGAGCTGAGCTCTGCACACAGCGCCTGAATCTCTTCTCCGGAGCTTGAGCAGAGCGTGCCCCTGCCCAGTCCAGTGACCTTCGCCCGTCTCAGCCCTGGTTAATTTTTGCCTGGTCTGCCCCCTGTGGGGCTCCTCCCCTCGGGGATATAAGCCTGACCCCGGGCTACCCCGTTCTCTGCCTGGCCTGAGCCTCCCCAAGCTCCCTCCCCACCCTCACCATGGCCAAGGGCTTCTACATTTCCAAATCCTTGGGCATCCTGGGCATCCTCCTGGGCGTGGCGGCACTGTGTACCATCGTGGCTCTGTCTGTGGTCTACGCCCAGGAGAAGAACAAGAATGCCGAGAGCTCTGTGGCAACCCCCGCAAGCACCACCACCTCTCCCGTCACCTCCACTGCGGCCACCACCTTGGACCAAAGCAAGCCTTGGAACCGCTACCGCCTGCCCAAGACGCTGGCACCTGACTCCTACCAGGTGACGCTGAGGCCCTTCTTCACCCCCAACGACCAGGGCCTGTACATCTTCCATGGCTCCAGCACCGTCCGCTTCACCTGCAAGGAGGCCACTGACGTCATCATCATCCACAGCAAGAAGCTCAATTACACCCTCAAGCAGGAGCACAGGGTGGCCCTGCGCGGTGTGGGCGGCTCCCAGCCCCCCGCCATCGACAGGACCGAGCTGGTGGAGCCCACCGAGTACCTGGTGGTGCACCTCACGGGCCCCCTGGTGAAGGACAGCCAGTACGAGATGGACACCGAGTTCCAGGGGGAGCTGGCGGACGACCTGGCGGGCTTCTACCGCAGCGAGTACTTGGAGGGCGATGTCAAAAAGTGAGTCCCGGTGAGGCGTGCCCAAGGGGCGGGTCTGGATGCCGAGGCAAGGCTGGGCTCTGGGAGCCGAGCAAGGGCTGAGGTCCGAGGCCTTCGCGCCTTCCGGAGGCCTCGGCTGGCACTTCACTCCCTCCATGGCAACCTGAGAGTGTTCCCTACCCTCCCCAGGGAGTTGGGAGGAGGGACAATGGGGAAAGTGGGGCTCAGAGGAGAGAGACTTGCCCAAGGTCCCTCACTGAGCGTAGGGGCGGAGGCCGCTGGAACCCGAGTCCTCCCATAGTCAGCCAGCCTGTTAGGGGTCCAGAGGTAGGTTGGGGGAAGAAGGGAGGGAAGGGATTAGCCTGGAACAGCCTTCCATGTGGCTCTTTCCCTGCATACCTAGGAGCACCCCAAGAACCCCTGTCCATTCCCTGCCTGGGCCCTGGCATACTCCCTCTCTTTTTTTTCGAGTTGGAGTCTCACTCTGTCATGTTGCCCAGGCTGTCCTTGAACCCTTGGACTCAGGCAATCCTCTCGCCTCTGCCTCCCAAAGTACTGAGATTACAGGTATGAGCCACCGCGCCTGGCCTGGCATACTCTCTAACTCCTTGGTTTGGGCAGGGTGGTGGCCACGACACAGATGCAGGCTGCAGATGCCCGGAAAGCCTTCCCGTGCTTTGATGAGCCAGCCATGAAGGCCGAGTTTAACATCACGCTCATCTACCCCAGTAAACTCACGGCTCTGTCCAACATGTCTCCCAAAAGTGAGTGGGTCCGTCGTGGGGCCGCATGACCGCAAGCAGGTGCACCGGGGCTAGGGTGCCCGGCCAGAGAGGGTCGTCCCCACACACTTGCCTGCTCCCCGCCCAGGAAACAGCTCGCTTCAGGACAACCCCGACTGGACTGTCACCGAGTTCCACACCACGCCCAAGATGTCCACCTACCTGCTGGCCTTCATCGTCAGCGAGTTCAAGCACGTGGGGGGGCAGACACCCAACAACGTCTCGGTAGGAAGCTGGGCCCGTCTGTCCTTTGCCCGGGCTGGCCCTGGTGTGGGGGCTGCTCCCTTTCTCCCTACTCCTGTACCAGCATCTGAACTGCCAGGCCAGGCTTTGAACCCCAGCTCTCAGTGATCTCTGGCAAGTATCTTAAGCACTCTGATCCTCTGTCTCCCTACCTGAAAGATGAGAGTAACAGTTCCCTCTTCATGAAGGGAGTACCTGGCCCCTGCTCCCAGTGCCAGACAGATGGTGGCTGTGACGACTGGTCTTCTCCAAAGACCCCCTCTAGGGCCCATGGCCCCTAGAGCCTCCTGCCTTCTCCTCTACTGACCAGGCCTCTCACTTTAGCTAAGCTGGTCCCCAGCCTGCCCATTGGAGACTCCCAGTCGCTGGGCCTTGTGCCGGGATTCAAGAGGGGCACCTGACCTGTTTCCCTACCTTTTAGATCCGAATCTGGGCCCGGCCCAGTGCCATTGATGCGGGCCATGGCAGTTATGCCCTGGACAAGACGGGCCCCATCCTAGACTTCTTTGCCAGTCATTATAACACAGCCTACCCACTCGATAAGTCTGGTGAGTGAGGGGCCTTGCAGTGGGGGGCATTGGATGGGGCTCCACTCCCGGAGGCCATCCTGTCAACAGCCTTGTCCCCCCAGACCAGATTGCCCTGCCTGACTTCAATGCCGGCGCCATGGAGAACTGGGGGCTGGTGACCTACCGGGAGAGCGCCCTGCTGTTTGACCCACTGTCATCCTCCAGCAGCAACAAGGAGCGGGTGGTCACTGTGATTGCTCACGAGCTGGCCCACCAGGTAGCCCCCCACCGTGGGGAATGCAGAGAAAGGGGGGCTCCGGGAGGAGATGTCACCATTCCAGCTCTGCCCTGAGCTGCACAGAAGGGAGGACAGTGCCCTTGGCAGGGCAGCAAGGAGAGGTAGTGATGACATTGGCAGGTGGCAGGCACCTGGGGAGGGCAGCTCTGGGGACCGTCAGTGCCCGGTGTGGCTCATCAAGCTGATCCTTCCTGCCCGCAGTGGTTCGGGAACCTGGTGACTGTGGAGTGGTGGAACGACCTGTGGCTGAACGAGGGCTTTGCGTCCTATGTGGAGTACCTGGGCGCTGACTTTGCAGAGCCTACCTGGAACGTGGTGAGCCAGCGGCCCTGGGGTCTGCGCACGGGGTGTCGGGGGGAGGTGAAAGGCCCGGGCTGCCCCTCCCAGGCGGGTCTCCTGATAGCTGTCGGGAATTTGCAGAAAGACCTCATGGTGCTGAACGACGTGTACCGCGTGATGGCTGTGGACGCGCTGGTCTCCTCCCACCCGCTGTCCACTCCCGCCGAGGAGGTCAACACGCCGGCACAGATCAGCGAGCTGTTCGACTCCATCTCCTACAGCAAGGTGCTGAGACCATGGTGGGATGGAGAAAGGGGATGAGGACTCGGCTCGCAGGGCCCTCACCCCGGCTGGGGCTCTGGGGCGCGGGGTCCTGGTGGCTCCACGCCTCCTGAGCCTCCCTCTCATCCTGCACCAGGGCGCCGCTGTCCTCAGGATGCTTTCCAGCTTCCTGACCGAGGACCTCTTCAAGAAGGGCCTTGCGGTGAGTACAGAGCCCTCGGACTGCCACGGGGGCGGGGGCAGCCCGAGTCCCGGCCTACCACACAGGTGGAGCCTGGGGGTACCCACCTGGCCCTCACCGTGACCTGTCTTTCCACAGTCCTACCTCCACACCTTTGCTTACCAGAACACCGTCTACCTGGACCTGTGGGAGCACCTGCAGAAGGTCGGTATCAGCCAGCCCCCCCAAAGCCGTTCTGTGGGGGCCCTGAGATGCTGAAAGCACCTGGGGGCTGCACATGTGTAAGAGGATGTGCCTGGCTCCACTGCTGCCCAGCCCAGGCTGGTCGGTGGGAGCCTCGGTTGCTCGTCTGTGAAACAGGCACAGTGATGGCTCCTCGAAGGAGGTGCTGAGGGGTCGGGACCCCCAGCCAGCGTCCCACCCCCCACCGTAGCAAGCCCCATGACGGGAGCCATGGAGTCCCTTCCTCGGGGTGAGGATGTGGGTCCTCACGTTGCCCAGGCCCAAGCCCTCCTCTGCCTGGAACTTTGGAGCCAGGTTTTCACTGCTCAGCACTCCCAGCCAGCTGCCCTGTGCCCTGGCCGGCCCCTCCCAGCATGTCTTGGCACACAGCGCCACCCTGGCCACACCCTCTGCCCCTGCCTGCCTCCGTTCCCGTCACTCAGCCCCCGTTCCTGCTTTCCCCAGAGGCTACTGCTCCCTGCCCCACCTCCCCTGAGGCCGGGGTCCCCACCCCTCCATGGTCCCCACACTTTTCCTCTCCCCGACAGACGGCCCCCACTCCTCACAGCCCGACCCAGCGACGAGGATGGCCTTTCCTGCACCAACATCCCCTCCAAAGTCCTGGGCCCCAGTGTTCCCTCCAGCTCCCGCCACCGTTGCCACTGTCCTTCCAGTCCCCAGGGCCAGACCCCCCAGGGAGGGGAGACCCAGGTCTTGTCCCAGAGTCACAGCTGGGCTCCGGTTCCCTGCAGGCTAGTTTCCAACCCTGCCAGATCTGCCCAGCCTGGCACCTCCCCCACCCACTCTGCTGCCCAGATGGCGCCAGCACTGCTGGGGCCCCGCCCTCCGCCCCCACTACCTCCTGGCCCTGCCCCAGCCTCCCCCATCCTCCCCTCCAGACATGAGCCCTCCCCCCTGCCCAACCACTCCCTTCCTCTTTTTTTTTTT